CCTCAGCGACCTAGGTGTTGAGGTTGCCTCACATTTTATCAGTGTCATGGAAATCTTTATTTTACCTAGACATAAACATGAGATCCAAGAATAAAAAACACTCTGTGAAAATGTCAATAGGATTTATTTCAATTTGCAAGACACACATCATGTCACACAGAGCAGCGGCACAAAATGTGTGCACCGAGGCAGTTTCAAACACAGCATTTATTCAGAACGTTATCAGACAGACAATAAATATCTGTCTTGGTGCTAAAACTGGGCCAAGGAGAGAATGATGTTTGATAAACAGCAACAAGAATGATTACTTCTAACAGATATTGTCCTGATCTTAAAACACTTTGTCTGAGAGAAAACAGAAGATAAAAAGTAAAATCACAAAACATTGACATTTTAAGGTAAGCAAAAGAGGTCACTGACTCTTGGCCTGAGAAGAAATGTAGGACCTTAAAGGATAATTTATTTTTCCAAGACAATCAGTTTATGAATTTTTAAAAAAATCATTTTAAGATGTACTAATTTTATGTGATCAAAAAAATTGTCTTGTACAAAAATATCCTTTTTGTTGTTGTTGTTGTTGTTGTTGTTGTTGTTGTTGTTATTGTTTCCATAAATTTTACAGGGATAGAATGTTACATAGGTTAATTTTGCATATTAGAAATTCATCTTTTTGTAGGTTCTGGATTGATAAATCCATTTGCTTGATCTTACTTTCTTTTATAGCACATTAAAAACCTTAAAACAAGCAATTCAACACATCTCCATCAACATCTTCTAAAGAATAAATAAAAAACTTTCACGATATCTTCAGGTTTTCTATCAGTTCAAAAATAAAATAAATAACATATGGAGGTATTGGTTTCATATAAATAATCTTATATATAAAAATAACTGTTTCTTCAGGACTTCCAGAAACTTTCCTGGGGACAGAAAATTGCAGCTTCTGATTTGACACAGAAATTGCTCTTTTTTAGGTTTTGGACTCATGATACCATAATTAGTTTATGTCTAACACTATCTTATTTTATGTATTACATAGCCCTAAAATGTGTCTTCTAATATCTGGCAACTTCAGCCCGTACACAAGAGGATTCAGAACTGGAGGAATGACAACAAACTCCAAAGATAAAATCACAGCAACAAACTGATTTATATATTTTACATCGTAACGACTCAGGGTAATGTCACAGAAAAGTATGATAGAATAAATGACAAATGAAACTAAGTGAGGCAGGCAGCTCTGAAGCACTTTACCGTTGAACTCTGCTGAACTTTTCCAGCAGACGAGCATGATTCTAAAATAGGTGAACAGGACATAAAAGAGTGGGAAGAAAACTGTGGTTACAGTCAAAAACAGACCTAAAATATTGTTGGCAGTGGTGCTAATGCAGGATAATTTAACTATATCCCAGTTGGCACAGAAGACTTTTTGTATCTCGTTGCCACATAAAGGAAGTCGAGCAGATAAGAAAATCCCTGGAAAGCTGATCAAGGCAGGAAAAATCCAAGACAGTGCAGACAACATGAAGACAGTTTTAGTGGTCAGCTTGCTGTGATAGTGTAAAGGATGACAAACAGCTACGTATCGATCAAAGGCCATAATGCTGAGAATGGTCAGCTCATTGCAAGCGTAGGTATAAATGACATACATCTGAGTGAAACAAGCAGGACGTGAGATCCAGTGAACATCAGACAGCAGGTCCATGAGAAACCTGGGGAAGAAAGCAGTGGAGCCGTACAGGGCGTTGGCCGATAACACAGCAACA